GTAATGCTGGTCAACTAAAATCTTCCTCTCTCCTTAAATAGCCTTTTGATTCATCCAGTATTTTAAGCAGCATGTGTTATCTCAAAGCCTATTTATTATATGTACAGTTCTTGCTGTGACTGGTATCTATGTCCTGTGATTGTCAAAAACATTCCCCTCTTTCCAGCAGTTTAAATTTGAGGAGTCTAGTCTGAAAACTGATTAGAAGTGATTATACTGGTGAACTAAAGGGACTACTAAGCAAAGTAACTCTTCCCTTATAAAGGGTATATTATCCAAGTCGGACCTTATTGTTCAGCTATAAACAAAACCATTCCCACTCTTTTAAAATGTCATATCTTTAATAGTGTCATTAATTTTATTTGAACAATAGAATTGATTAATATTCTTGCATTTCTACCCCTTTATGAATGCATTAGATAGAGATGGTATTTGAATAGATCTATTTTTGATAGACAGTGATCATAAATCACATTTCGGGGGATATTTTGTGATCTCCTGATAGTGAGTTATATATATATATATAATATATATAATGCAGTTTTTGCCTTGGCCTCTGAAGAGCTTAATTCCCCTTTGATGCTGCTTAAGTGAGGCATATTTTTGCTTATTTCAATTTCCAAAGATTTGTTACAAATTTAGGTTGTGCAGTTTATAAAAATGCACTCAGCAATCAAAGAAAAGCCCATGCATACAACTGCCAAACATATATTTTTAGGGACCCTGTTGGTAAATCTGTATTATTTATTACGCCTGAAGCTCAGCAAAAAGGAAGAAAAATTTCTCCTGTCTCCACAGGAGGCACCAAGAACACACTAAGGGAATTTAGTAATGAGGCTCTTTCATTGAAAAAAGACCTTGACAATCTCCTTAAAATGGGTGCCAATTACTACACTGACATGCAGCAGGAAAGAGAACAACTTAGATAAATTGGGTTCAGGTTGGCTCTCTCTGCATGTATGCAGGACAAAAATTAAATTGGATTGTGAAGAAATGGCAGTGAAGGGAAATGTGTGTAAGGTATCCAGCTGATCAGCCTACTAGCCTAAATCAAACAATTTGCTTGCATTTATAGTAACTAAAGGAGAAAAATAATAATAATAAAAGGCATACTTTTTTTTTCCTTTGACAATCCTCCAAAATGTTTCTGTTTACAACACTTTACTAGAAAATGACTCTTGGCAGAGATGAAGTAACCATTTGCCTCCACAAAGCAATGTAAAAATCTGCTGCTTGTTATACTTGAGTTGCCAGATGCTTGCCTCTAATGATGTAAGGCCTTCTAAATTGCTTAATCTTGTGATGGAATACTGTTGCTGCCCTGGATAAAAATGCTCACCATTTCCTTTCATATTTGACATATCAGAAATGCAAAGGTCGATTGTTTTTTATGCATGGTAAAAGAAAAATGTATCTAAATAAAATTAAAAATAGTATATTATGTGAAAGTCTAGTGCGAACATACTTAAGTTTTCACATATACTTTCTTAATGTTAATACTTTTACCATACAAAGTTTCTGTAATTCTGGAAAAAAAAGTAATTCAGTTTATTTTAACCCCTTATTAATTTATTAAGTGAATATTTCTCATTATTCCAGAATTGTGCAACTGAAAGAATAGCAGTTAAATATTACACTAGTATTTTCTTTTAAGCTATTTTTCTTTTAAGGGTAAATTCTAATGAATAGATGTTATATTTCAAAAGATCTCACAAATTCTGGAGGGAAGGGATTCCACGGAGCCTGAAGAGTTTAAAAAAAAAAAAAAACACCCAACTAAATTACATTGAAAATTGACATCACCGATACTGTACCGATGTAGCTGATGGAAGAATTTGAACTCTATTTTCAGATGACAACGGCAAACATGCCATCTGGTTGAATAGACATGAAAAGAGCATTTATTTATAAAATTAATTAGCTGAACTAGTTTCTGAAAGTGATCTTGGTTTAATTTCAGTTGTATGCATGCGCGCTGACGTCTTTTTCTTTATATACATGTGTGAGTATGTGTTTAATTACAAGTTGTGAAGTTGTTATCATATTCAAGTCACTAAATTAAAAAAATTAATCCCAGCCAGTAAGAAACTAAATCACTCCTATTCCCTAAATTGAAACGATGAGTATTACTGGAATGGGGAAGATCTCTAAAAATAGGACAAACTTGCAAAAGGCAGCTCACACCCAGCTTGTGCGGGAGGATATGTTAAGAGGGAAGAACTATGTTTCCTGTATATTTAACTTCTTTTCTCACCATTACACATTCAAAGACATAAATATTGTCAGCATTACTGTATATGCACATGCTGAATAAATCAACTTTGTACATCATTAACATAGTCAAATGCACCAGTAAGTGGTCAACAGTATGTTTCGCTTAAAAGTTAGAATAGCGTTATGAATTGGTTGTGCAAGTTTAAAAGCAAGAAAATGTCCTGCCCAATTTTGCAAACATTAAGATCATTCCATTCTACAGAAATAAAAGTACTGAGTTCCCACCATATACAGATTGCACATGCACACACACAGACGTTCATGGATGTGAATATATACTGAATATATATACACGCTTGTCTATATATGCAGCTTCACAGTATCTTCTTGGCTAGAAAAGAATTTGATTATTTTTTAGTTTGTACTTTTCATTTCATAACACATGGAGAATCCTCTGTGGTCCTGTTCTGCATCGTCATCAGTCTGAACTACAGCTTCTCCCTTTAATGGGACCTTTACACGTTAACACTTTGCGTGTTCACTGGTCGGAAGTCTGACTATAAAACAGGGCTACTAGAGATCAAGCCTCCATCTGTACTGATGTCTTTCTTCTCATCTTTTAAACAACTTTCGAGCACAAATTATTTTAAAGGTAACCAGTTAGTTTATCAGAGTAGCTGATATCTATAAATAAAAATATTAATAATAAAAGCAAAACAGGCTAATTGCTATAACCTTACAGGCTTTTGTACAATCCCCGGGAGAGTCATTGGTCAATCCCTAAGACATGTAACTTGCCATGGAAATGCCGAGGTTGTTTCCTACCTGGACTCTGGCCTCGGTGAGCTCTGTTCTCAGAGCTAGCTGCTCTCTTACATAGACATCAGGATAATGAGTTTTCTGGAAAACTTTTTCCAGTTCCTCCAGCTGCAAACTGGTGAAAGTTGTCCGGTGCCTCCTCTTCTTGCTGCTGGAGACGTTGCTGTCACACTTATCTCCGAGTTCATCCAGGTCACCCTTCTCCTGCATCCCTTTCACCGGAGACATCCTAAGGTTGCTGCAGTTGTCCATAGGCCTGCTCAGCTCTGTGTGCAGTGGCTGTCCCTCCACTTTAGTAATTCCATAGTTCACTGTGCACAGGGGGGGAAATAAGTAGTTAAAGGGGGAGTTCAGACTCAAGCGCTCATATACAACAGTTTCGCGATGAACTGGGTTCTACTTAAATCTATTTCTACATGAGAACATGGAAAAAGCATCGATAATATGAATCACAATTTTTTAAAAAAGTATTGTCACATATAATTAACAAAATTTGAACTGAGAACTGTTTTCTTGTTGTTGTTGTTGTTTAAGGAGTCACATGAGAATACTTTTATTCTGCTAAGTTCTGAATCCTCTATGAAATCAACTCCAACTGGAGTTGCCCAGATAAGGAATCTTAGCACAAAACAGATTTTCATATAAAATAAGTGGCATAAAGCTATTGACAAATGTTCCTTAAACTCAGAAGCAGATAAATGAAAGCCACTCAATTACTATGAAAGCAACTGTAACATAAACTAAATAGGTGAGAACTGACAAATCGGGGAGCAAAAGCATACAAAATTGAAAATCAGCCTCGCTTTGCAGACTCTGTAGGATCCACTAGCTGCTCTTGGATTTGTAAAGTGGAATTGTTTACAATTAAGTTTGTTATGGTTATAAAATAGAAAGCATTTCTGCAAAATGTTAACTAGTTGAAAGAGATTGTTTCATATACTCCGTATCAGGATTGTGGGAACTGTTTGTCTTTGGTAAAATCTGGGTGATAGACCTAAGAAACACTCCTCTGTAGATTCTTGGTAAGAAATTAAAACATTTTATACTTTTTTATTTTTACATATCTCACCTCTCTTAAAAAAAATACGCAAAATGTTACAAGATTCGAAATTCCTTCTTTTTTTCATTTGCTCCCAGAGACAGGAAAGAAAATTTTAAAAATCCTATTTTCAGGATGAAAAAACTGCAGTTGTCATGCAATATGCGATGAGTCCGAGGTGATTTTATCTAAACACAATGTTAAATACTTACCGTCGATACACAGATAGGAAATGCCCCAAAGCCCCCGAGGCGTGAAATGAAATGAACTAATTAAGAAAAGCTTCAATCTGTTAATCAATTTTCCGTAGTTTTTGTAAATTGTGTTTGCAGAAGTCTGTCACTGTTTCTTATGAACTATTTCCTACAAAATGATGTTCTCAAAAAAAAATAGTTTGAGACCTATATAAAGTCAAAAATAAATATCTTTAGTCGCGCTGCTACGGATGATTTTAACAGTATTTTCCGACTTTCTGCTCGATAAGATATTTTACATTGTTTCATGAACATTGAATTTTTATACTGTAGAAATAATAAGCCAAATTATAAGCTGTTTATAAAATAGGCTGGTCCATGTTCTTGTTTGCCAAGCATCTAGGAAAGGAAAATAATATTTAACAAATCTATTTGAATTATCTGAAATAGTTTTTATTATTATTATTATTTACATTATCAATCGTGGGATATACGCGTGTTACGCGCTACTTGGCAACACACCAGCGAAGCGCTGTCGTTGCAGCACGATGTTTTAGTGCTCGGAAAACGACCAAAATGACCTTCCGATTTTCATCTTTTAGCGGTACCTGGCAGCCTGGCAAGGGCGTTGGGCACAGCTCGCCGCAACCCACGGCTACCTTTTTTTTCCGGAAAAAAAAATAAATAAAGATATATCTGTACCCACTATTATAAGGATGAGTTTGAAATCTGGAAAATAACAAAGAAACAGCGACTGAAAATTCATAGCAAATATTGAAGGCCAAGGGCTGTCTCTCCTGTTGCTACTAAAAAAGAAAAAGAAAAAAGAAAAAAAAAAAAGGAAAAGAATAAATAAACTAAAAATAAAACAGCTTCAATATGGGAAATCCCCGTTTCCCCTCATTTCTATTAATAATAGTATTATCTGCCTTTTTTAAAAAAAAAAACCTTGCTGCCTCCTATCCCAGCGGCCAAAGGTCTCCCCGGGCAGCAGGGGCCCCGGCCTCCCCACGATTCCTCCAGTCAGGGTGACAGGGTGAAGCACAAGCGTGCAAAAAAAGAAATGCCAAGGAGGGCACTCACCGTTGTTGTCCTGGCAGGGCGAGGTCCTCTCCAGCCTCACATGATGCTCAGCCCGCTGCAGAGGGTTGAAGGCCTGCACGCATTTGCTGCCTGGCGTTTTGCTGTAAAAGGACTCATTGTCCAAAGTTTCCATAACGTGCTCCAAAGTGCCTCCTGCTCCCATGTAAAAGTCACTGTTCTTGCTCGGCTGGCTCTTCAGGGCAAACTTCTCGCTCAGAAAATCCATAATCATCTAAGGCTGCTTGAGAGCCTCTTCCCTAGACAGAGGCCGGACTGTGAGCAGGGGAGGGAGGGAGAGCGGATGGAGGGGAGGAGGGAGGGAGGGAAGGAGGGAAAGACCTTCAGCGCCCAGGGAGCTGCTTTGCCTCTGAGCCTTTGATTTGTCTTGTCTTGAAAGGGGAACCCGAAGTTGCTTTTATATCTTGAAGCTCAGCAGGGCTCCTGGTGCAACCTCCCATTTCTAATGAATATGAAAATAGGCACGCGGTGTAACTCCACCCCGGGTCCCCCAAGACCTAATCCCAACACAGGAGGGAGTTCCAGGCCCATTTTAGACAGACAGATCCCGTCCAGACAGACAGACACACAAGCCGGCAGGGAGGATGAGCGGAGAAAGGGAGGGAAATGTCCCGAAAAGGACATTTGCCCTCCGCATCAAAATCACATTTCTCCTGGCATTCAGGACAGACAGTGAATGCTCACCCCGCAGTCCTCCAAGAGGTTTAGAGCAAGGTAATTTTAGGGCCACACTCCCTCCTTTAACAAGTCTCACTGATATATCAGTAGCTGCAGTCCTGGTCTCCGAAGCTGTAATATCGAGAACTGGTGTTCCTTCTTTATTAAAAGGACAAGAGTTTGGGGACCGAAGTTAAAAAGAGAAGGAAATATTGTCGGGTGTTGTCCGTGCGATATGAAGGGAAAAATGAGGCACTTACAGAAAACACAATAATAATAATAAATCTGCTACATTAGGAATTGGTCCAGGAGAGGATTTGGCTGGTATCAAATAGACATGCAGTCTGCTTGTATGGATGTAAAACAACTAAAGCAAGCCTGTTTTCTTACACTTCCCACCTCAACCTCTCCTGAATTGCAAATTAAAATAATAATACACTTTCTAAATGGGAATATCAGAACACAGCCTGGAGTGATATCACGAAGAAGAAACGAGTTATGTATTCAATTATTCCTAAGGATATTGAACAAGCAAATGCTTTTCGCCCAGAGTGTGTGACCTTCGCAGCGCTGAGCTCCATGATGCTTTTGCGCTTAGACAGGATTTAAGACGCAGGCGAGAGGGAGATGACACGAGAGCGGAACATCTCGAGAAGGCCCAAAGAAAAGAGCTGCTCGTTGCTTCCTGCAGCAACCCGGGAGCTGGCGGGATCATCCGGGTCCAGACGAGCTGGCAACCTCTTCAGATGAGCATTGCGGTGCTGGGAGCCCGAGCCTGCCTGCCTGCCTGACTTATTAAGAACATTTTAAAAACTTGTTTGGTCAGGGCCGGGCCGTGTCCTGGACCCCGGTGCGGGCGCGGGGCAGGAGCAAGGGCAGAGGCCCTGCGCGGTGCGGCGGGAGCGCGGTGC